ACAATACACTCCCCTCTGCATGTGATTCAATTAACTTACACAATGGGTAATGTAATTTAGCACAAGCAGAGAAATACAATTTTTCCACATTATTCATAACTTGAAAAGTATGCATCACATTCACATAAACATTTACATTTTCAGAATCAGCATACTCCAAATACAAACATACGTCAAAATCATACAAATTGGTCCAGTGGTTCAAAAGATAGATCATAGTCCTTTGTGACCACAGGAAGCATGGCTTTTCTGCCCAAAACCAGTTCCACAGAGTCTTCTATCCTGGAGATAATTAGAAGTAATCCAATTATCTCCAAAGACAGAAGCAAAACTCCATTGAACACATGGCAGCAAAAAGTCAGTAAAATACAATAAAATACACAAGGTTACATTTATGACATAAAATACAGACATGCAACATATCCCCAGATAGTTCAGATCTGAGCGCACATTATTACTGAATGGCGCTCAGAGCACACACATACAGTTCAATTGCCATGGATCCAAAGTCTTTCCCATAGTCTTTCATTATACGAATGGGCTCCATGGCATAGCTATCTGGGGTATCACTGCTCAAACAGGGCAAGCACCAAATGACCCGGCTTTCTTGTCTTTGCAGGGGAAAATCAAGCCTTTTAACATGGGGCCATAATCCAAAGGCAACAGGCGAGCAACTAGGCTTCTCCAATGCAATGTGGCGAGATTGCTCTCGTCACAAGAACTATTTACAAGTTGGTATATAGATATCTAAACTAATTAGCGCTGGTCCCTACCTACACTCTTTTGCTTGTCAAGTTGGCAACTCTGGAATAGTTGTGGAAAAAATATTTTTTAAATTTCAATGCCCAAGAAGAACTTGTCAAACTTCAGCTTGACTTAGACATTTGCACTGTGGGGAGATATATTGTGTTTGGTCTCACCACAATCTTTTGGTATCTATCTATATAGCAATATATGGAGATAGATAGACAGACAGACCGATAGATAGATTAAACCAAGCATGTCAAACTCAAAGGCTAGCACAGGCCACATAAACAAGGTTTAAGTTTATGTGGGCCACAAAAAAACAAACAAAAAAAAAAACTTAAATTTTTATAGAAATGTAGGTTTGTTTTGAAAAGTACAGTATAAAAAAAAAGCATCCACCTCTACCGAATTCCAATCCCCCCTCTGTACTAAATCGCAGTCTCCCCCTGTGTACTAAATTCCAATCCCCCACTCTATACTAAATCCCAGCACCCCCCTCTACTAAACCCCAGTCCTTGTTTTAAAAAAAAACAATATTAGCCAACAAGCAGACTCCAGTCACATTGCTGCTGCCAGTATGCGACTCCGGAGTCCAGCCTCTGGTATACCCCCAATGGCGCCGTCCGCATCCTGTGCCAATCGGATCCTCCCGCTACTCCTTGAAAACCCATGAGGGTGGAGAACGTATGATACCCCTGCTAATCTTCTGGAAATGGCGTTTCCTGATACACCATTATTAATACATTGAACTACAAACGAGAATGCAGCTTCAGTGTTTCCCCCCACTGGATCCACACGTATCAGCTTATGGAACCTGTGCCATTCGTTCCAAGCTGCTACATAAGCCCTCCAAGTGCCCTGTGCCAGTGCTTTCATGAGAAATTGCCCGGCTCTTCCCATATCAATTGCCAAAGGCCGCTAGGCAATGCCACGCTCTTTTCTTCTGCGTCCGGGACTAAGCTCCTGAAAGCGTTGAGCTGAAAACGAGAAATAGCGTCAACTATTTTATTCTCATTACCTGGAATATGTACAGCTTTTAACCAAATATTATGTTGTAAACATAATAACACTAAATTTCGCAACAAATTAATAACAAAGCAACATTTAGCATGTATGGAATTAATGACCTGTACCATTGACTTATTGTCACAGTGGAATAGTATCCGTTTATTTTGTAACTCTTCTCCCCATACCAAGATTTCGGTCAGAATTGGAAACAATTCCAACAACGTTACATTTTTGGTTAATCCTTGCTCAATCCAATCATCCGGCCACTGAGCATAGGCCCATCTTTTTCCACAGTATATACCAAAACCGACTGACCCTGCAGCATCGACAAATAATTCCAAGTCTCCATTAACTTGAAACTCCAATTGTAATAATGAACAACCATTATACTGCTGCAAGAATTTTTTCCACACTTTCAAATCATGTTTAATTTCAGTTGACATTCTTACAAAACAGTAAACAGATTTTTTCTTAGCGCAAGCCAGCGCCATGCGCCTACAAAAAATTCTACCTATAGGCATGATACGACTTGCAAATGCCAATAGGCCTAGCAATGACTGAAACTGCTTTACTGTTGCTTTTTTGCTTGCTAAGAAAAAACTGTTTTTTTCCTTGAACTTAGCAACCTTTTCTGTCGGCAGCTTACATTCAAAACCCAATGAATCAATCGTTATTCCTAAGAATTGCAGACTTGTAACAGGTCCCAACGTTTTTTCAACTGCTAGCGGGATGCCAAACCATTTTGCTAAATTACAGAAAAATTCCAACAACATATGACATTCACTACTATAACTAGGACCAATGAACAAAAAATTGTCTAGATAGTGCACCATAGAATTTATACCGGTCTCCAAATTAACAACCCATTCTAGGACGGAAGAAAAAACTTCAAAATAAAAACAGGAAATTGAACATCCCATTGGCAAACATTTATCAAAATAAAACTTCCCCAGAAATGAAAAACCCAGAGAATTAAAACCTTCCGGATGCACCGACAATAGCCTAAAGGCTGACTCAATGTCCACCTTTGCCATTAGCGCACCCAGCCCAAATTTTCTTACCCATCTGAGTGCATCATCAAAATGCGCATAAGTCACTGAGCATGTATCCTTATCGAATTTGTCATTTAATGACGTACCAGAGGGGTAAGACAAATGGTGAATTAGCCTGAATGACCCAGGCTCTTTTTTTTGGAATTAAACCCAGTGGAAAAAGGCGAAATTCAGAAAAAGGGGGTTCATCAAAAGGCCCTGCTATTCTGCCTAAATCCAACTCTTTTTGCAACCTATTTTTGACAGCCTCAACATCCTGCAAAACTGACTTTAAATTATTAACTACTAAACAACCTGAACCATGAAACCTTGGAATCAGAAAACCTTCTTCAAAACCTTTCAGCAACAACCTAGCTCTCTCCTTGTTTGGATACACTTGAGGGTACGGCCGCAACCTTTCCAGCTGCACTAGAGTCCATGCCTATATGAACTTGGTCTCTTCCTTGGCCGGGCCCTGACGCCATTCTTTTAAAACACCGAAAGGCAGAATGATTACCCGCACAATAAGAGCATTCATGCTTAAACATGTATGTTTTGGGCCAAGATAAGCCTTTCTTTATTGTTCCTAATGTATTAGACATGACGACAGCAGTAGGCGCTTTTATTGCCATTCTTTGAGGCAGCATCAGGTTCAGCCACAGACCAACATCCTTCATTCCCCATTTAAGGGAAGGGTGGACGGCCAGCTTTTGTCTAAACAGTTCATCATAGCTAAACCATGCCAGACCCCCAAAATTTTTTAGTGCCTCTAGTATGATGTCGACACATTGGAATAGCCCGCTGCATAACTTAGGCTTCTTCTCTCCCATTACGGATGAGAAGATACAAAAGGTTTGAAGCCAGTTAAAAATTACGCGGGATTTATCTACGCTTTTCTTCGTCTTTGTCATTTTCTGCCCTGTGAAACTCTTTTGCCAAAGGCAATAGTGACAGTAAATCAATATATTCTCCCTTCCATATTTTTTCTTTTACATGAGCCGTTAAGTGGAAACGGTGAACTTTCCTATGGCAGAGCTTCTTTTTGACATTATTCGTTAATAAAAACTTCTTTCTTTGAACTACTACTCCCACTACCCTAAGCCTGAGCTGGACTTTTTTCTTTAAATACCTTAACCATCCCAGTTACCGCTGCTAACGCCTCACTAATTCTAGCCAGTTCAGCAGTATTTCGTTCATACTCACCACCTGATGTCCCACCTCTGCTTTGCTCTTCCATTTCTTCCATGATTGGCATGTCATCCAGATAACATGCGCTCCCTTCGTCTGAACTGTCTTCTATTCTTGATATGCTGAATACATCTTCTTTTCTTCCCAGAGCTGATTCTTGCATCTCTGGAGCCAACTTCTTGACCTGCCTGCATTCTCTTTTTCGCCCTTCCCTGGCTGTACCACGCTTGAACACGTCTCTTTCCGGCTGAGCATGACATGCCGCCGGTCGGAACCTCCGCCAGACGACGAGAACTCCCTTCTGGGTAGGATGCTTCTACCGAGGGCTTCCTACAGTGCTGGAAGCCCCTGGCGCCGAGATGAGGCAGTTCTTTATCCAGGATTCCCCCTCCAGCCGAGCGCAGGATCTCAGCAACGCGGGACATCAAATCCTCTGAAGACATGCTGCGGCTGTAGCAGGTGAGGTGCTGGGGGTCCGTCCGAGCTTCTCCCGTCCTGTCAATAACAGCTGACAGGGAATTAACCTGCTCAGCTCAATTTATCCTTACCTGTTTTCCCGCGCTTTGCTGGCTCACTGCCAGCCACCAATCCTCACAATTGCTGAGTCACAGCTGAGTCACTTAAAACTGCCCAGTTACTTGTCCCCACTCTGCCCAACAACTGCTTAGGGGTCATGAACTAAAACTAAACTTTAATTGAACTACTAAATGCCTTTTTTATTTATTTAATTAACCCTCTATTACCACCAAACATATATGACACAGTGCTTAATGCCTGTGGCATCTTTTTCTTTTCAGAAACTGATTATTTGATTTGCAGTGTGCTTTTGTGTCACTGCTTGTGCTTTAGAAATTGCAATCATCCTCCCTCAGTAATATACACTCAGTATTAGCAGTATACTGCACAAGTAAATCCTGTCTACACTGAATGTGGCAGTAGAAGTGTTGCAGGCAGGATACTGCATAATTGAAGATTTTTTTTTGTTTTACAGGGTGTTGTGAAAATGTCAATGTACTGTGCAATGTAGTCAAACACTATAATGGTTCAGTAGCAAATCCACCAAGCAGCAACCCATTTTTAATACAAACATAAGGCAGCATGAAGCCACTGCAAAGGCATTTAAAGGGGGGCAGCAGCAGCACCTTCTACTACTACCAGTATAGTGTCAGTTGTCGACAGGGACAGTCCACCAGCCTATTCTAGAATATGTTGTTGGATTTATTCCAGGGCCATGTTGGGTCAGCAGGCTACTAAAGTTATTTGCCAGATTGACCATGACATACTCTTACTTGCCAGTATGGCTTTTTTTCCTGGTGACAGTCCACAATGCTTAGGTATGATGGTGGTAGTGGAGGAAGTTCAACCTTACTGAAAACCATGCTTGAGCATTACATGATGATTGCCAGTCATTTCCACCACAGTGTGAGGCTGAGCTAAATCTTAAGGCATGAACAAGAGAAGACAGAGCTTACTACACACATCTATGACAGGATGTCAGCGCGTGGTGGAACTCCACTTGGTGGTAAGGCGACGAGCGATTTGAGCCACAGTAATGCCAATTTGAGACAGTCCATCTCTTTGTTTACCGACCTTAAATAGAGGTTACTCCTGCTGCTGCTCCCCTTTTCTTCAAATGCCTTTCATCATAGTGGATTCGCCCAGTCTGTCTATGCCTGAATCTTCTGCGGACACATTTGGGAGAAGCTGATAGAATACTTTTTTTTTCCACAGTGAAAGATGGTCACTGATGCTACAGACCGGATATGTGGGAAAGTCTTGTACTTTTCAAGGTGGAAGGGATGATGAGTGAATCATCAAATGTCCACTCATTATTGAATTATTAGCAGTTCAAGCCATGGGTGTTTGTGAGGGTGTCACAATTCTATGTATTCTTCTTCCTACTTTTCTGTGGAACTGTTGTAGGTGGCTCCACGCAGACTGAAGAAATTTGGCTCTGTCTCCAGTTGGCCCTAGCTTGTAATTATTTACTCCCTTTTTAACCCCTTAAGGACACATCTTCTGGAATAAAAGGGAATCATGACGGAATATTTCCGTCATGTGTCCTTAAGGGGTTAATTTAGACTTGCCCTCTTGTTTGCCAGGTCATTGATATTGCCTGCTGAAACCCTTGCTTCCTATTTCCTGTTCCTGAAAGCCCAGCTCATTGGTTATGTGTCCTATGGAACTTGAGCTCATTTGCTAACCCTCAGTATTCCAGAGCTTGCTGCTATCCTGTGAAAACTCAGTGTTTCAGAGCTTGCTGCTATCCAGTACAAAAACAACAATCTTCTAGAGCAAGCTGCTTTCCTGTGCAACTTAAAGGAATATTATAGTGCCAGGAATACAGCTTTGGCTCGCCCTCCCTCAAACACCCCTCCCCCCGACTCCCCTTGCGGAAAAAAACTTCTATTTACTTACCCTTTTCCGAGCGCTGATGTCCCTCGGCACTGGGTCCTGGCTCCACACCCTCTGACGGCCCATGATAAACGTCCGCTTATGCGTATACGCGGCAAATGACATGCGTGCATTAGACCTCCCCATAAGAAAGCATTGAATAGGTTTGTTGTGGGGAAGAATCTGAAACTGGAGGTCCTCATCCAGCGTCAGATAACAGACCAAAGGTCCGTTTCAATTCAGGAAGCCTGAATGAGCTTCAATGAGCTGATGTGGTCTGGGTGCCTACAGTGTCCCTTTAACCTTTTAACCTCTGTCTCCAGAGGCCCTGCTCCCTATATCAAGTCCCTGCTGCCTTCCTTTTATACAGAGCTATCTGTTTTCAGTGTGTGTTATTCATTTGTGTTCTTGAATTTAATACAGTCTCTTTCCTCCTTACATTGTGTGCACTCTGATTTCTTTGCATATTGGGTTCCTTCTTATAGTCGTTGTTGCTGTGATGACTTTAGACTTTGCGATGCCTTAGGCAAACTCAAACATGATGTCCCCACTAATTCCCACAGTGAAACAAAATAGGGGTTTATATTGAGCTGTAGTTATATGGAAGGACGTGCTTGCAGTGCTGGATACAGAGAGCTAGCTTCTGTATTTATCGTTGAGAGGCTTGCAGTGCTGTGGAGGGTGAAGGGGAATGAGTGTGACAGAGTGAATGAGGATGAGTTTGGCAAGGATAGGAGATGAGTATAACACGATTAGGAGGGTTTAATCTGATAGGGTTAGTGTGGCAGAGCAAGGGAGGGTGAGTGTGGCATAGTTGGAGGAGGAGAGTGTGACTGTGTGGGAGTGTTACAGTGTGTGGGGAATGACAATACAATGTGTGGGGGGTGACAGTACAGTATGTGGAAGGGTTACAGTGTGTGGGGGTGACAATGTGCGTGGGAGGGTTACAGTGTGTGGGGGGTGACCAATTTCCTCACACTGAAATCATTTTTTGTTTATGCAGTATTCCTGGTGGTCCAGAGGCCTCCCTCCCTGATGATCTGGTGGGCTAGATATCTGATCTGCAGCTCCACATGAAATAGCTGTCTTGCGAGCGCTAACACTGGAAGTGTCAGAGTGTTGCCGTGATAACCGGCATCAATGCTTTGACTGGCTGCAACTCGCGAGACATCTACTTAAAGGTCTGCAACTCTGCACCTGGTTGAGATGCTGAGCTCTTTCCCCTTTCTGGACAGACTTAGGGGAGGTGCCCCATACCTGGCGGCATACAGGGCAAGCAATAGTGCTTCCTCCCGGTCATTGACCAAGAGCCCTACTGATAAGTCCGCCTTTACGCAAGATTTTACTACTAAAGGAGGGTGTTCCACATTATTGAGCAGAGCACCATTTTCATGCAATATGGGGAAGAAAAAGGATCTCTCTGCTGCCAAAAAGAATGAAATAGTTCAATGCCTTGGACGAGGTATGAAAACATTAGATATTTCATGAAAACGTAAGCGTGATAATCGCACTATTAAGAGATTTGTGGCGGATTCAGAGCACAGACGGGTTCATGCAGATAAAGGCACATTGAGGAAGATTTCTGCCAGATCCATGCATCGGATCAAGAGAGCAACTGCTAAAAAACCATTACATAGCAGCAAACAGATATTTGAAGCTGCTGGTGCCTCTGGAGTCCCACGGCCATCAAGGTGTAGAGTCCTCCAGAGTCTTCCAACTGTGCATAAACTTTCTATTCGGCCACCACTAACAATCCTCACAAGCAGAAACGGCTTCATTGGGCAGAAAAATACATGAAGAATAATTTTCAAACAGTCCTGTTCACTGATGAGGGCCGTTCAACCCTGGATGGTCCAGATGGATGGAGTAGTGGATGGTTGGTGGACGGCCACCCTGTTCCAACAAGGCTGCGACGTCAGCAAGGTGGTGGTGGAGTCATGTTTTGGGCCGTAATCATGGGAAGAGAGCTGGTCGGCCTCTTTAGGGTCCCCGAAGGTGTAAAGATGACCTCTGCAAAGTATGTGGAGTTTCTGACTGACCACTTTCTTACCTGGTACAGAAGGAAGAACTATGCTTTCCGTAATAAAATCATCTTCATGCATGACAATGCACTATCTCATGCTGCAAAGAATACCTCTGCATCAATGGCTGCTATGGGGATAAAAGGAGAGAAAGTCATGGTGTGGCCTCCATCCTCCCCTGACCTCAATCCTATTGAGAACCTTTGGAGCATCCTCAAGCAAAAGATCTATGAGGGTGGGCAGCAGTTTACATCCAAACAGCAGCTCTGGGATGCTATTCTGACATCTTGCAAACAAATTCAAGCAGAAACTGTCCAAAAACTCACAAGTTCAATGGATGCAAGACTTGTAAAGCTGCTATCAAATAAGGGGTCCTATGTTAAAATGTAACGTGACCTGTTAAAATGTTTAAAAAGTTAAAATGTTGTTATAAGCTTATTGAGCTTTTGATTTCAGTAAATATGCTGCAAACACAACAAATGACAATGTTCAGTTCTTTACAACCTATAATGTGTTTTGAAACTTACTGTGCTTAATAATTTGGAACAGTGCATTGTAAGTTTTTTATGTTTAAAAATTACTGTTATCATTAGGAGGTTTGTTCAATAAAATTTGAATTGTACTCTTAATAGTTGATAACATGACAATTATGCTGACTGTTATTTACATAAATTATTTAGGTAAATGAGAAAAATATATTTGCATAATACTTTGGAACAGGGTGTATATGTTTCTCCTCTTCTGTGAGAATTCATTATTGCCCCATTTTACGTCCGGGGCTTTCCTCAGGATCAACAAGCAGTAACAATGTAAACAACATAATGTGCAAGAATATATAGCCCAAGAAGAAAAAAACTCACTGCAGGTTATTCTGGCTAATTGATCGGCGTTCTCCAAAAGTGTTTGCGCATACCTGGAAGTATGGTACGTGGCGTGATGACATCATCACGGCAAATTCACATATACAGGTTGCTATAATAACCGCCAAATATTAACAAAGAATACGTAAATACAGTGTAATGAAGAAAGTATAAATTCAGATATAGTGCATTATAGTATAGTATAGTGTTAGAGTGGTGGATGACACCTTTATCCAGTAAAGGTTAAACTGTGTATAGCAATGGCTCTATATAGAGGAATTAATAAAATGCAGCATGCAATTAAGCAGCTCTGATATATTATCTTAGTGAAAAAAATTAAATAACAGAAGGAGTCATAAAGAGAATGTATACATCATAGTGGTAGGTGTAATTAGAGTTAGTGAAAGGTATGCTAAATCCATATAGTATGCAGGCCCGGACTGGCCATCGGGCATACCGGGCAAATGCCCGGTGGGCCGCGATGGCCGTGGGGCCGAGGCCGGCAGGGGAGATCACAGGATCTCCCCGGCCGGCTCCTGCAGGGCCAGCGCTACCCGAGCGCCGGCCCCGCTGTGTGCCTCCATGGGCCGGTGGGGAGATCAGAGACACTTCCAGGCGGCCGCTTGCTGGGGTGTGAGGGAGGGAGGAGAGGACCGGCGGAGCTCTATCCAGCAGCTCCGCCGGGTCCTCTCGCGGGCCTCTCGCGGGATTCTGAGCATTGCCGCGGTTACCGCGGCAACGCTCAGATCTCGCGAGAGTGAACTCTAGCCTACAGGCTAGAGTTCACGCTCACCACTAGGACCACCAGGGATCAGGCAGCATGGCTCTCCCATGGCAGAACGGCTCTCCCCCACCCCCGTCCCAGGCAAAACGGCCCCCCCGCTCCCAGGCTAAAGGTAAGAAGGGAGGGGGGGGATATAACTTTTTTTTAAAATTATTATTATTAATTAAAAAAAAAAAATTTAAATTAAAAAAAATCACACTCACACACATCACCCCCAGACACACACACATCACCCCCAGACACACACATCACCCCCAGACACACACATCACCCCCAGACATACACAGCACCCCCAGACACACAGCACCCAGACACACACAGCACCCAGACACACACAGCACCCCCAGACACACACAGCACCCCCAGACACACAGCACCCCCAGACACACACAGCGCACTCAGGCACACAGCACCCTCACTCACACACAGCACCCTCGCTCACACACAGCACCCTCGCTCACACACACACACACATATATATATATATATATATATATATATAATATATATATATATATTTACAGATATATATATATATATATATAATATATAAAATAACCCTCAGTGAGTTAACAGACAAAGAAAATTAGAATGTGACGGCAGATAAAAACACCCTCACACACAGCACCCCTCTTACATACACACACACTACGCCCCTCACACATACAATACGTCCAAATATATATATGTATGTATATACACACACACACACACTACAGCACTACATACATTACGCTCCAGATACACGCTAGATCACTTACCTTATATGCACTCTTAATCCTCTATACACACACACACAATCTCCTATACACACTCTGGGTCCTTTACACACTAGATCTCCTACACACACACTGCACCACCTACACACACACTACATTCCTTGTCAGCAAACACATACAACATTCTCTAAACACACCCTCTCTACAACCCCTACACACTACGTCACCTATACACACACACTACAGCCCGTATGCACACACTCGCTACATCCCCTATAACACTATGCCACCTATACACACACTCTCTACAGCCCCTAGCCACACATATTACACCACAAACACATATGAAATTGACCTATTTACACAATACCACACCACACTCTACACACACGCAATTCCACAAGCAGGCTCCAAACACATGCACCATACACTTTCCTGGCCCTTTTGTCCTCTGGTATCCCACTTGTTGAGACACCAGAGACAATTTAAAAGCAAACACAGCGCAAGCATATTATTAAATTTGCTTGCGCTGCGCAGAACAAATACAGGGCCTTTTTCTAATGCCAGAGCTCTTCAGCGCAGCTCTGCGCATTGAACCAACATGCTCACTTTGAGAGGAGGCGTGCTTGTCATTAGTGATGACAAAACACACCCTCTCTGGCCCCGCCCCCTTCTTAGGGGGCCGCTCTGATTGAAAAATGCCCGGGCCTAATTTTTTCCCCAGTCCGGCCCTGATAGTATGTCTATACACAAACCATATATGGCAAGTAATTTTGCTTTGTAAGGGAGCATATACATTATAGGTACAGTGAAGTACAATGGATCTATATAATCTCCAAAAATTACACTCTACCACTAAAGATAAATAAATCAACATAAAATGTCCCGAGAAAAAATCCTAACTACTATAGTATTTTTATAAAAAAATATAAAAATATGGATGATGTAGTAAATCCGATGAAAATGAAAGTATATTACAAGAATGGGTGGTATGTGATCATTTCATTCAATCAGTTTGGGGCAACTGTATTTAACTCCAAAATCCAAAATGTTTCCTTTTTTAATAGCATGTTGCCATGATCTCCACCTCTTAAAGGTGGTCAGATATGATCGATTGCCACAAATTTTAACGCAGCAAGAGAGTGTCCTTTTTCTAAAAAATGCTTCGCCACGGTCTTGTATGAATGGCCATCTCGGTAAGCAGTTCTGATGTTGGATGTGTCCTCTAATGCGATCACAGAGGGGAGTGATGTTTTGCCAATATAGGCTAGCCCAAATGGACAAGAAATTTTATAAATGACATATGATGTCTTACAAGTGATGGTAAACTTGATGTTATAACGTTTATTTGTGTGTGGATGGTTAAATGTCCGAGAGGGGACCATATGACCACAAGTAACACAGCTGAGACATCTCATGCTACCCCTTACTTGGGTGGTTGATGTCAGTTGGTAACTAGAAACTGGATCCGTTTTAACAAGCAAAATTCTTATTTCGTTTATGACAAATCATTGGTGGCTCCTTAAAAACTTTAGGTAAGGTGTCGTCCAAGGACAACATCTTCCAGTTTTGTTTAACAATGTTGGAAATCTGTGGAGATTTATTGTGGTAGGTCATGGGAAACACCATCCTGGGGGTTGTGGAAACATTCGTTGAAGCGTCTGCATTCTGTGCTTTAGATTGCGCTGTCATCAAGAATTGTTTGTCGTAACCACGTTCCCTGAACTTTTGGGTCATGTCTAAAATCTGTTTTTCTCTCACGTTATCCTCTGAGTTATTATGTATGACTCGTCAGTATTGTGCATAGGGTATAAATTTAATTAATGCTGGTGGGTGGGAACTATTATGGTAAAGAATCTTATTCCGGTCAGTTGGTTTAGAATATAGGCAATATGTCAGCTTGTTGTCAACAAATTCAAGTTGTAAATCCAAAAAATGTACTTGCTTAGTACTAATGTCAGCTGTCATCCTGAATGGAGAGATGGTAATGAGTTGAGATGCTCGACCATGGCATGTGCTTGTAGTTCAGTTTCCCTCCAAACAATCAGCAAGTCATCAATGTAGCGAAAATAGCTACAAATGTGTTGTTGGTAAGTGGAAATAATGTTGTTAATTTAATAAATGTACATGAAAGCATTAGCTTACATGGGCGCCATTGCAGCACCCATGGACGTTCCTTTGAGCTGCATATACTACGTTTGTTCAAAACAAAAATAATTATACTTCAATGTAAATTCTAATAAGGAATAGGAGGGCCATGATAAATAGAAGACTGTGACAAAACTTATCTCATAGCCTCTATACCAACATTATGCGGGATGATGGTATAGAGGCTACTGACATTCATGGTGATAAGGATAGAATGTGGAAAATCGATACTTAAAGACTAACTTAGACAGCAGAGAAGGGGTGTCCCTGACACATGTATGTAAAGCTTCCACTGGATTCTTAAACAGGGAGTCCAACCACCTTGCCACGAACTCCAGAACACCACCATCCACTGAAACGATTGGTTGCCCGGGAGAGTTTGAGGCATTCTTGTGAATTTTTGGAATTGAATACATGATGGGAGTACGTGGATGAAGTTGAGTAAGGTATAAATACATATCCTGGTCAATATATATTTTTTTATTTTTTATTTTTTTTTTTAATTCTTTATTTTATTGAGGCATTTGAGTAATACATATCAGAATATAACAGTAGGTGCTCACATGAGCCATGAGTGCAATCAAGGAGCAAAAGCTCCAGCATAAAGTTGCCTCTTTTTTTTTGGTTGCAAGTATATAAGAACAGTACATGTACTATATTCAAACAGTTAAAGACATACGATGCTAAGATGCACTATATGTGAGGTGACCGGTATGGCATTATACATATTAAAGAACGGTTTCAAACTAAAAGCAAAAACATATTAAGTATTTGTTGTCGTGTAAATCACAGGCTAAGTATCTGGCTATGGGTTTGCGCCTTGACTGGTTATATAACATATTCGTACAGAGATGAAACTGTCTAGAGCAAGGTAGGTATTAATAGGTTGTATCGGGCAAGGTATTAACCTCTTAGAGGTTTTGCAACACAAGGGTTATTTGCTATGAACATGTTCAAGGCTTTGGGCAGATGCAGTGAGAGAATCAAGCATAGTTCTTGCTTAAGTTGGTTAGGTATATGTGTCTATCCAGTGGTGTGCACTGCTTGTGTGTTTTAATTGCATGTTGCCCTACGTGATTGCAACATTTCAGGTTGTGAGCGTATGGTCGATGTAAAAAGGTTTATGCTTATGTTAGACTAGTTGGAAATTAACATTTCTAAATGAGTAAGAGTAAGTGCTTGCCATCCATATCAAAAGGGCACTGTTTGCGTATGTATAGGCTAAAAGCCTTTATGTAATGTTGTCTGAGAGGTTGTACCTCGCTTAAGGTATTTAAGCGGATTTGTTAATCGGCATCTGTTTGATCTTGTTGCTTAGGTACGTGTTGTAAGTGTGGGTGCCTATGCAGTTGTGTTAAACATTTAAAACGAGTCAACATCAATAAAACAGAAAAAATTATGAACCCAGGTAACGTGAGGCGGACCATTCCTGCCCATGTCACCAAGCAATACAATGGAACTTAGCTACATCCGCATGTAGGCAATTTTTGTGGGTGAAGGCATATGCAACGAGTCATGTCTAGCTAGGCTTTAAAGACAGGTTCAATCTAGGTACAGAAAACAAATTATGATATAACATTAGAGGATCAGCATTAAATACAAGTTGCAAATGTCCCTGTGAGGCCATTATCTGTGGTGAAAAAAAAATAAAATAAAAAAAAAAAAATAAATAAAAAAAATTTGGAGGTCTCCCCTCGTCCATGTGCGGCTGGTTTTAAAATCGCCGTTCTCCGTTTATGTAGTTACCGCTACGTATGGGTCGGGTGTTAGTCCCTGGGGTATGAATGGGACTGTTCTCGTCGGGTCCCAGGAGTGCTGTGGTGAGTTGATGCCTTGTTGGGCTACCTGGTTGAGTGAGTCCGGAGGTAGGCCCAAGGCCTGCAGTAGCTGCGCTGCGTCGGCTGGGTCCTGTAGCTTGTGGGATTCCGTTCCCTGCTGTACAACGAGCGTATGGGAAGGCCGCCAGTTGTATTGGAGGTCATGACTTCGGAGTAGTGCGGTGAGTGGCTGGAAGGAGCGTCGCCATGCTAGGGTCTCGTTCGAGAGGTCAGTGAAGAAGTTTAGTGTCATGTTGTTGAATTGGAGGGGTGCCTTCCCCCTAATGGCTTTAAGGATTGTCGTTTTGTCCTGGGTGTTGCGAAAGGTAATAATTAAGTCCCTGGTGGCCGTGGTCGGCGCTCTAGGTGGCTTGGGGATCCTGAAGATGCGTTCAGGGCTAATGCTATGGACGTGTGAGGGCGCCAGTATGTCGGCGAGCAATTGCTTGACTAGCCGCGGGAGCTCTGCATCGGGTGTTGCTTCCGAGACCCCACGTACCTTCAGGTTGGTTCTCCGCCTAGCGTCCTCGTATTCCGCGAGGCGGAGTTCGTGTCTGCGCTGTTTTGTTTGCAGGTCACTTACAGCCCGCTGAAGTTCCCCAATAGCCTTGGTGTTGGCTGTGGATGTCTTTTCGAGGGCACCCATGCGGGTCGTCAGGCCCTTCAGGTCTCCTCGCACCGCTGTGATGTCCTTTTGCAGTGTTGTTTGGAGGTCATTGAGTAGTTGTTTTAAGACCGCTGTTGTTACCGGAGCTGAGTCCGGGTTGGGTTTGTGCTGCTGTGGGGGTTGTTCCGCTGCAAGCGTTGGTAGGTACTCCTCTCCAGATTCTTCTTCAGAGAAGTCTGAGCAGCCTCCGTGGAGCACCGCCATATTGGATCCGCTTGGGCCTCGTGCCTGTCTCCACATATCCCCTATAGTAAGCCCCGAGGATGGCTTGTCCATGGTTGTTTTTCTATTTTTCCGTCCCATTTTGCTGGGGACGCGCAGGGAGCCCTGGCTTTCGTTAGGGGGTCCGTTGAGCAGATGTTTTCCCCCGGTTTTCCCCTTCTAGCCCCGCTTGATGGCTTCTGTAGCCGGCTTGTTGGTGCTGGGTATGTCAGGAGGGGGACCGGGATGACCCCCGCCGGTCCAGAGGGGGGGGGGGGACCGCTTGGTGCTATGTGCACTCCGCCGGGAATAGGGCTCAGAGAGCGGCCGCCTCTCCTCTGCCCACGCTTGTGTAGGCCGCAAGCCTGAGCGGCAGCGTTTCAGTGCTAAAACGGTTGGATCTTGGTATCACTGGATGCACCGTCGTTCCCTTATCTGGGAAGTCGTCGGTGGCTGGTCGGTTTGGCGAGAGGCCCCGGTAATCCGTCGTTTATCGATCCCAGTCTCTGGAGCTCAGGCGATGCACGTCTGATCAGCTCTGCATCCAGGCTCCGCCCCACCTGGTCAATATAGTTCACCCTTAATCCCATACTTAGAATGGAATCCAATTTCTGTTGGATTTTGGTAGTTGGGTCCTCTGATAGAATCTGGTATGTGTCAGAATCCCTAGGATATATGCAGCTCAAACAAGTCGTACGTGATAACGTGAGAGAAAAACAGATTTTAGACATGACCCAAAAGTTCAGGGAACGTTGTTACGACAAACAATTCTTGATGACAGCGCTATCTAAAGCACAGAATGCAGATGCTCCAAGTAATGTTTCCATAACCTTCCCATGTCCTTGGACGACACCTTACCTAAAGTTTTTAAGGAGCCACCAATGATTTGTCATAAACTAAATAAGAATTTACGCGACTTGCTCGTTAAAACGGATCCAGTTTCTAGTTACCAACTGACATCAACCACCCAAGTAAGGGGTAGCATGAGATGTCTCAGCTGTGTTACTTGTGGTCATATGGTCCCCTCTCGGACGTTTAACCATCCACACACAAATAAACGTTATAACATCAAGTTTACCATCACTTGTAAGACATCATGTCATTTATAAAATTTCTTGTCCATGTGGGCTTGCCTATATTGGCAAAACCATCGCTCCACTCTGTGATCGCATTAGAGAACACAGATTCAACATCAAAACTGCTTACCGAGATGGCCATTCAGACAATATAAAGAAGGAGCAGTAAGTGGGGAAAAGTGCTAAATACAGTGCAGGCTAGTCACCCCGAAATAGGGATCACTCCCAATCCCAATAAAATACAAGCAAATATGTATAGTTTAAAAAACATATACCACCAGGGGCGCCACAATCACAAACATGTGAATATATTTACCATGGTATGTTCATGGGTATGCATATAAGGAGATAAAAATAAAAGTATATATAGTGAAGTATTTAATAACAAATAGAATAAAATAATAAAAATAATTGCACTCACAAATGTAGTTGCACAACAAGAACATATGTCCTAATTGTGCTAAGAAAGCCTGTCAGCCCTTAATTGGGCTAGAGTCCCCTCTTGTAGCAGGATCCCGATTTTCAAAAGTTCCAATGGCCTCCAGTAATAATCTGCTTGAAGGTGGATGAGATCCAAAGATACTAGGGACACTGGCCGACTTGTAGCTGCTCGACGCGTTTCGTCCGATCGACTTTTTCAAGAGCTGTGTGTTTCTGTTCTTCTTCCGGCTTTTTAAATGATCAGGTTCGCGCGGCTTTCAGTGTTGCGCGCATGCGCATTACGGTAAAACTTTACCGCGCATGCTCACACATCCAGCTTGAAACGCAAAACCAACTTTATTGATACTTTGCGCCGACAAAACACATTTCCGTACCGGACCACTTGGTCTTACGGAATAATATGTGGGCACTTCAAGCTTTTGTTCATCATACATAGTTGATCTTCATACATAAAATACTGATGAACCATCTTTTAAAAGGCAAAGGTAAAAAGCATTTTAAGTGCATCACATATAGAGTTCTACTATTAGAAGTGGGAAATTAAACATACTGTAGACAGAAACAAACATATTATGAGAAACATATTATAAAAAATATGTAATAGAAACATCATGTTACATTTTATACAGTGTTACAATACTTTATACAAAACTGATATTTACATATAACAAACTGTATATATAACTAATAATCATTTTATTTTATTCGGATGAGAGACCTGGCGAAGACATCATTAAGTTCTATTAGAATCATTCATAAATAAATGAGAGATCACTTCATTGGAAGTTAATTCATTAAAAAGTTATTAATAAAAAATTGTAATTATTAATAAAATACAAATCGTGCAAATTAATGCCAATTCTATGGAAACAAAAATTATAATATAATAATAAAACTACCACTTACTAAAAAGGACTTTCTAAAAACCAAATTATTTATAAAAATATTTATAAAAAATTGATTCATAAAAAATTAATTCATAAAAAATTAAAATTAAAAACTCTTATAAATAATTTATAAGAATCAATCCATAAACACCAATAAATCTAAATCAACATTTAATCCTCTTGGAAAAGTGGTTTTGAGTCTATGGATCCACTCTGTTTCTTTCATGGCTAGCGCTTTTTCTGTGTCGCCCCCTCTCCAATGTGGAATTATCGTATCTATCCCTATACATCTAAAATCCTGGAAACTAAAATGGGTGCAATTTATACAATGTTTGGGAACACTATGTTTTATATTCCCTCTTTTTATCCCATTAAAGTGTTCCAAGATTCTAATGTGGAGTTTTCTTATTGTACGACCCACATATTGTATGCCACATTTACATTCAAGTAGATAAATTACATTTTTTGTCTGACAATTTATAAAGTTTTTTATTTTAAAAACTTCTTTAGTGGCAGTGCAGGTGAATTCTGTTGTTTTCTGTTTTTGGAATTTGCATGTACTGCACTGCCCACATTTAAAAAAACCTTTTGGTTTTTCTTTAAGAAAATTGCCCGTTGTGGCTTCTTCTTTAGTGGGTTTGACACGGGGTAGAGCGCTTGGAGCTAAGATGGACTTAAAATTCTGGGTCTTTTTGTAAATAATTTGGGGTTTACTTGGTAAAATATCCTTTAAAAGTTGATCTTGTTTTAAAATGGGCCAAAATTTCTTCATAGTTTTCTCTATAAG